GTAGGATACGAGTATTCCGTAGTATGGGAGTTAGAAGTGAAGAGTTTAAAAGCAGAAGATCCAAGACAAAATCTAAAGGAAGATATGGAGTGGGGGGGTCAAAATTACACAAATGAGAGAAACACATTTCAGATTAATTGAAGTCAAAAAACAAAACAAAAATAGGGAGTGAGAGCGACGTAAGAAACCCAGACATTTCAGACAACAGTCCAGGGGGTGCATGCAGACATTCATACATGACATGCAGTGTCTACATATTTTGTGCCGGGTAATTGGGCTGGGATGGGTTAGGGTTGGGCTAGAAGCATGCAAAGCAGCTTTAATTGAAGCAAGCAGAAGAGAAGAAAGATGGATGTTTATAAAAATGACTGAAACGTCATCGTCTGAAGGTTGAAGGCAAAACGCGGGTCATGTCATATTCAGTAGGAGTATTCACATTTCACACCTTGAAATACTCTCTTTTAAATTATAATATATTGTTACCAGTAGATTCTTTCTCTCTCTTGTGAAGAAGCAGATAAAATAAACCTCTGAGTCTGAGGTGTTGTGTTGTGTTCTGATCTGCTGCATTATTAATAGGATGTACGTACTTGCTCAGTTTGTTTGCTTTTTTCGTTTCTTTTGCCTTATTAGCTGCCGTTGGGAGAGACATTTTCGTCTATTTTTGTCCATTCTTTGTTTACGACTAGTAAATACCTCCTTCGTTTATATAATTTATTTTATGAATTGCATAGTACATTATTTAAGAAATAGAGAGAAATAAAACTCAGAAGTAAAAAGGAGTCTTATAATATGAGAGAAATAAAAAGAAAAATCATTAGTTAAATATAAAAAACTATCCTTACTAATTTACCAATCATTTTACTTTTAAATTAAAATATGTCGCTGATTAAAAAAACAATAGAAATATCGATTGAATTCCATTAAACAAAGTAGTATAGCTGTGCAGATTATGGGGTTGTTTGGCAATTGACGGTTGACTTTTGGCTTGTTTGACTAGCTGGAAGTATTAGATGTATGGATTGACTTTTTAAATTAGTTGTTTAAGCCAGCTGTTTACAAAAGTGTTTGGTAGAATTATTTATGATTGTTAACTGTTTATTAGTGATAGAATGGGCCAATAAGCCAAAAGCTAATAGAAAAAGCTGCTCCTATTAGCTTTTGGCTTTTGACGGAAAACCAACTTAAAAGCCAACAAAAAAGTCAACTACCAAACATATTTTTTGAGTGTTTGGCCAAATTAAAAAGCCGAAAGCTAGACAACAAGTCAATTCCCAAACACCCCTTATATTTTTTTTAAGTAGTCTAGCAAAGTACTCCATAAGCCAACTTTTTTTAATTACTCCATACTCCATACCAAAGTCATACTTATCCTATCATTTTAGAATAGAAGAAATAGTTACCGCAGTCATTTACGGAGTGTCCACATAATACAAACTACTCCGTAATAATTACTCATAGGGTTAAACAACTACGAGTACAAAGTACCGTGGAGTTATAGAAACGGGGTTGAGTTAGAACTTTAAACATTAAAACAAAACAACAAAGAAAGAACAAAAAGTATGATCTACACAAAATTGGCTTTAGTTGTGGGCAAAATGGTCAGACTAAAACAATAAATGGGGGGATCAGGCTAGATAGTAGTAGTCTAGTAGACTAGTAGGAATAGCATAGTAGTTCTCCACTATATACTTGTTAGATTTTGTTATCACTAATTAAGAAACTGCTTCCCTTCAATTCTTATCTCTGTGTAAAGCTTCCCATCTTATATATCTTTGTTTTTTCTAGCATGCTATACTGCATCTACTACTGCTCTATTTCTGAATGCTGATCTAATGCCAAATATAACAGATGATAAATTTAATTTAATTCGATTAAAATGGAATGAGTGTATCAATCTTTTCGTTATCTGTGCCTAATTTAACCTTTGTGCTTAGGGATTGAGTCATGCATTGACTTGTAAACAAGATCATTTTTGGTTTGTGATTTTTATGTTTTCCTTCATTCTATCTAATCTAATACAGTATCAAAGTTAGTGCTCATGGAAATTAACACAATTAATCGTTACTTGGAAATCACATTGACAAATTCACGCCGAGTACATACTAATTGATGATCATTTTCGGGCATTTTATGATCGGAGATCAAAGATCATAATTGTAGGAGATCACATACTTAAAAACATCTTTCAGCACATACCAAGTATATTTATAGATTCTTATGAGCATCAACAATGGTGCAATTGTGTAGTAAGAGTTAGCGTGACTGATCTTCAATAGAATTTATCTTATTGTTGTCTTGTTTAAAGCAGCTAAAGTTTATAAGTAGAGTGACGTACCTTTCAAGGGGAACAAAAATGCTTCCATGCGCCCTAGCTATCAATTTCTCATCCGGCCAAGTGATTATATGACAACCTTTTCCTTATTTCTTTTCTCATACGACTATTACGAGCTAGGGCAAGGACATAAGAGGATACATTCTATATTAGCTAGCAATATTAGCAAAAGCAGGAATAACAAAGTTGGATTCCTACATTCAACCAAGTTCAAAAAGTAGTATAACACATTCATCTTGAATATTAATTCAATAATCTTACTATCGGGAATTGCATACGAATCAAACTCACAAATGCTTAGACGTGGGATTGAATTTTGAACACTATAGTTGGAAACACAGTACAATACACAATATTCTTGTAAGATAATCAACCATAATTTTACATAATTTAATCCTTTAATTTTCATTTACAAGGTACTTTGAATAAGATTGCACGTTGTTTACAACAATGGGACAATCACTCAATCCCAATCGAAAAAAAGTCTCATATTACGACCCAACTTCTCTTCTAAAAAGTAATTTACCCTCCAACACTTTATCCACCAATCTAGTAATTGTCGAAAGCAATAGCAAATTCATACCTATCATTTTCAATTTCTTGCTGCAATCTTTTAGACCGTAGATAAAAATGAACATGTAATTACAACGCAACCTTATAAGATGCAAATTTATACATCAGCTAATGAGATAGGCCAAATAATTCGAGTATACTTCATACATAATTTGCATATTATTTTCAAACATTCTGTTTCATTCCATTAGGATTCCAAACCAAAGGGGTCCACGATTCTTACAAACATTGACTGCAGGTCACAACCAAATTCTAACTTGTATCATAAACTCTATAATTATCACTAAACATAACTAATTGAATAAAAAAAGAGAGAGAGAGAAATGAAGCAAAGGAATTATTGATCCATCCAAAGCAAATCACAGAAACATTAGTATCAAATTTATAATATAAAGTTTTAAATTAGAAATTTATATCACATCTGCCAAAGTAGTTGGTTGGTGGGGTTGCTTTCGACAAGAACTACTCCAATTACTAGCAGTAGTAACAAATAAGTGCCTTTCATATATTCATTTCATGTCTATTTCCAATTTCTTTCCTTTCAGAAGAATTTTTTTTTTTTTTTTGCTAATTCCTCTCCATTTATACTCTTTGTGCATCTTCACTCTCTTTCATACAAACAATTAGACAAGGAATACAACTAAGATGAGATTTCTATTTATGGCATTTCCTATTCACAAGACATTTTTTGACTTGTGAATTTCTTGAAAAGGACCCTTCCCCGTTGTTATTATTGATTTTACTCTTTTCGCTTTGCTTTGGATAACAGCAAAGCGCAAATTTAATGATATCTTAACACAAGCTAAGGGCATTTCTTGTTTTATTACTCCGTATTTTTTATTTTTCTTCTTGTGAGAAAACATAAAAAATTTTATAGTACAAAGTAAGTTATTCCCATTGTTCAAAAGTAATAATGATATATTAGTATAATTTGTAGGAAGCCACAAAAAAAACAAACGATGTATGCAAGATTTAATCATGTGTGCTAGTAATTTATCATACTAAATTCTAGAAAAAGTAATGGTAATTAGGAAAAATAGAGCATGGTGACAACCTAATCTGTGATAAAAATGTAATGTAGAACAAAAAGGTACATTAGTGGAATTTGTCAAAACAAGATTAAGAAAGGAACCCATTTTCCTTAATTCGTATAGTAGTGTTCTCGTGAGTCAAGAAAGTGTTGAAAACAAAATTCTCATATTATCAGCTAACTTCTTCTACTATGTTCTTAAAATGTTTACTTGGATTTTATTTTTTTGAAAAAATAACTTGAAAAATCAAAATAATAATAATTACTATTACTATTAACCCAGTTTCAGAAAATAGGATTAGGAGAAAATTATTAGCATTCCCCAAGTTCTTGTTGCATAAAAAACAAAGTAGCACCCTTAGATGAAGAAGCAATCTAATCACCTAATAATGAGATTGGCCATACTAGGAAAACCTTAAGGAAAATGCCTACATTACTAGATTTGACTACTTTTTTCTTTTTCTTCAAAGCAGACTTCTTGCTTGGGCTGCAGCCCACAGGTTTAGCTTTAGTGTTTTACTTCTATTTTCAAAACTTTGGGCCTATGTAAGCCCAATAACCTTAAATAATGATATTAATTAATTCAATAATTCTAGCAGCCCACTTTTTTTTCTCTCTCTCAAATAACACACTCTACATCTCACTTGTTTTGTTAAAATGAGCAAACTAGTCTCACAACATGAGCCACATCCTCAGCAGTGAAACTTTGTTGTGATGGATTTTGAGCCCAATGTGGATTTTTCAAGTTCTGTACGCAATAGCCTACCCATATTACTCGGTATATCTTAGTGATTCTCCCTCTATTCTTCGAAGTGAGACAACTAATCTCACCTCACAAGTGGGTTATTCTGAATACTCCGTAGCAAGCGTTGTGTACTTGAAAAAATTCGTGTTCCTTGGTATAGAACAAATGCCAGTTTTCCACAACATTCAGGATTGAGTTTTCTTGAAAAATACGGAGTATAATGCCTATAAATCTCAAAAATATCCAAAATTCACTTTCAGATAGATGTTTCAGTTGAAGTATGTTCAGAGTTTAGATGATTGAGGGACCATGCAGGCTGCAGTAGCAAGATATTAGAGAGCTTTTATTAAATTAACTTTCAATGTTTGGTATCAGGAGCCAGATGAACTGAACATATACACAATGAATTTATCGATTACTATGAACAAGATGCTCCTAGTTCATATATACTGAAGAGTTATTTTACAGCAGTGTTCTAATCCATCAATTACATGTGCTGCTAACTAAAATGCAGAAAATGTACTATAAAAGTAATCAAGGCATTCTTGTTTACCAGATCCTGCAGCAAAAACATTTTGATCAGCGCCAGGAAGTAGATGTGTTAGCTGCATCATTCACAAGCTTGTCAGCTGATTGCATGGAATACAGTGTACATAAGCTTTATGCAACTGGCACATTGCAAGCACTGAAGACATCGCCTAAGGGGGCATGGTCTCCCGTTCCTTCATCTTTCCTAGCATACAACAGTTCCTTCCCTTTGAAGACAAACATTCCTCCCTGGAAGAAAGAAACAAGGGTCAGGTTTTAGATTTTAGAGAGATCAATTATGGGCAAGACCACAAGATTTCCTGAGGTTTGGCCTGGCCTATGATCATATCTTTAGTTAGGGTAAATGTATAATTTTATAATCAACCTGTTGCAAAACACTACTCCTGTCGCTAGGTGTAGCTTGAATTGTATAATTCTCCATAGCCTTTTTCAGGGATTCAAACCTTGAGAAAACCTTTTTCTGTCAGATTAAAACCAAGGATGTGAATTATTGAGTGAAAACCTGAATAACATAGGGGGAAACAATATCTCAGGAAAGAGGGTTGAAAGATTACACTGGCAGGATTGAAGAATGTCCGACCAAGACCATAATATAAACCCAATAAATCATATGCCTGTAATAACAAGCATTTCAATGAGTGTCTGTATTGTGAGAAACTAGCATATATCTCTGCAAATAACAGTTACTAGAATTTACCTTGCGTTCAGGATCAGCATAAAGGCACTCCATAGGAAACGGTAACTGGATACATAAAATGATAAGAGTATGAGTCAAATGAAATAATGCATTGAATGACCTAAACTGGAAGATCAGAAAGTTTAACAAGCAGCAATCGATATAACAAGAGCAGACAATTGACCAGCATATTGCTAGAACACAGTTAAAGATTTTGAGCCTCTCTGAATGTTACATCAAGGAGAGTAGAAAGAATCTGGGGCAAGCTAAATACTTCGTATAAGATTTTCAGTGTCATAAAGTTGTAGAGAGATCTCGGTGGCACTAAGGCATGCGGAAAAGTCTAAATCACAGAATAGGATGGCTGTCAATAAAGTGAGAATTGAGAAGGAAATACAGAGCCTAACGTGGGCAAGGAGGAAGTGACCTAACAGTTTGTAAGAAAGACGCTCCAAATATAATAGAGGGATAACAACTGCTTTGATACCTAATTGACTTTGGATGATTCTCCTTAGGCAGCTACCTAATCCCCAATCTACCTAACTGAAGGGACTTGCACTGTTGATACTATTTTAGCATACCAAAGGGCATGTGAAAAATGATCTTCAAAATAACACACCAGAAAACCTATTGTTCAGTAATACTACAAACGAAGTAATGAAACATATGACTAATTACATACTCATATTTATGCTGCTTATCGCACAGGACAAAATCAAACGACAAATTACAAATCCATAAAATATGCAGATCACTAGATAAAGTCTTTAGGAATTTGCCCTGAAGTTCACAGAAATTTGCCAATCCAGAGTGCCAGTTTGCGAGAAATGAGAAAATTGCTATTAATCATAGAAACCAACGCCTAGCAAGATGATGCATTCGCTGACTCAGTATTAGAAACCACATTAACTATTCACTGGCTCCAAAATAATTAAGTGGAAATAACAGCCAAATTATTGAGCATCGCCAAGGACACGAGTATGCAAGAGTTTTGGGGAAAGTGTAACATGATCAACAGGAAGGTAAATTTGCAAGCAGAATGACTAGAGTTTGTTAACTTCCATATTGCGACTGAGATGCAGTTGTATATATAGGTCAACATTCTATTTGTGCTTCTAAGACATACAGTAAGAATTGTGATTATAATAGTCTTCATTCTTTAACAAATATCCTCACTACCAAAGTCTATCCAAATTTGCCACTGTATAAAACCTAGGCAGTTATAATTTCATAAATTGGCTTCTCACATGTCACTTCATGAACTCATAAACATGTTTCTTATTTAGTTTGCGAATTTTCAAGTTAAATATTCGAGTCTTCAGCTAGATTCTAAACCTAACAGATACAGCAAGCAAAAAGAGGTACCCGTTCTCCAAGCAAGCGGGCTTTTTCAGGTTCCCCAACACCAACAGCAATGAGTTTTACACCAGCAGCATCAAATCTCGGCATTGCTTTTTTCAAATCTGATGCAAACTCCCAGCTTCACAGAAAATTGGAAAACTTAAATCAGTAAACCACAAAAAGAAACACCCCACTACTTAATAGTAGTAGTTAATACAGTAGATTAAGGCACAATTTTACCAGCAAACACATCCAAAGTGCCTCAGCAGTGCAACAACGGCCACTCCCTGGATAAACCCACACACAAATTCATCAACATGAGTATAATTATAATATACGAAGTAATAATTATCATAATGTGAAACTGCATGTGTTTTATAGGTCCCAAATACTTAGAATTGCAATTCATAAGTTGCTTCAAAATGAAACTACATATGTGTTTGGCTTCATAGAAAATAAACTACATTGATATCTAATGAGATTCCTAAACTACTCTTACATCATTCCTCTAACCTCCACAGAATGATTAAAATCACTCACTTTTTCTACGTTTTGGGTTGCACTAATAATTTTTTTAACATAAAACATTAAAGTCTAGATTTTTCCTCCCTTTATTCTGTTTTACACATTATTTTATTTAATTTCAAAGTTATTTAAGTGAAACTTTGATTACTATAATCAGTATCATACAAGTACAACCATCTCACACAAGATTTACTAAAACTAACATAATCATAGGGTGCAATCCATTCATACTGTAATACGGAGTATTAATGGTAAAAATCATCATAACAACAATCAAATTTCCAAAATTTTAGACACCAATACATCATCCTTCATAATTCAATAATCATAATTCATTCATTCTTGATGAAAAATAAATTAATTAATCAACCCACAAAAGAAATTGATAAAAAAAATAAAAAAAGGGTATTGAGGAAAGAGATGAACCAACCTCATTCTGATCCCAAAGATCCTTGAAGATGACAGGTTCACCAGTAGCCTTGAAAATGGTGACATCACCCAAAACATCCCCAATATTATCTGAAACTGCTGCATCAGAAGCAGTAGAAACAGAAGCTTTGGAAACGAGTCGTGAACTCGGACTGGTTACAACTCGCGATGAGATAGACGAGACAGAAACAGAGGAAAGTGATGTGGGTAAACGTGATGAAAATGATAAAGAGATTTCCCGAATTTGATGAAATGCAGAAATAGGTTGAAGGTAAAAATATCGATTTGCTGCAATTCCTGCTGTTGCTGATAATACCCCCATTTTTTAGTTCTCTTTAGAACATGAAATTAATTAATTTATTAATTTATTAATTTGGGCACTTCAGATTTGAGACGTGTTTTCAACCTAAAACGCCCTTGTCGATTTCAGTTTTTTTATGGCTAAACGATTAGTCGATTAGACACAACTCACACTAGCCGATAAAATCTTCCTAATCGTTGTGCCAAAGAAACAATTTACGACCATTTTTGGTTGGAAATTTTCATTTACCAAAAACACCCTTTTTAAAAAGATTGAGTTATACAAGATAAAGATGCAATTTCCTAAAACTTGTTGACGACTCTTTTTCTCTAGGTAAACAAGATAAAGATGTAATTTCCTAATCGTTGTGCCAAAGAAACAATTTATCGACCCTTTTTAATCAATGATTGTGAACGGGGTGTAACCTTCAAAATCATGAATGGTTTACAAGTTCCTAAAACTTGTTGGCGACTCTTTTTCTCTAGCTTCTTTTCGTTGGAGTGCCGCCATGCTTAAAAACATGACTCACATGTAGGGCGGAGGAAAAATTCCCTACACCAATACATTGCTAATATTCTTCTGAGATCATCAACCTCAATTTTATTAGCCCACCATATAAGTTTGGCTGGAAACTCCAATTGCTCTGCATCTTTTATTACTCCAACAAACTCACTTTGCTCCCAAACCAATCTTGCATTGTCACTCTCAAAGAGAACGTGAGAAATAGTCTCCATCTCAATGCCACAGCACGCACATAGCTCATCTTAAGCAATATGTCTACGATACAACTGCTTTCAGTGCCATATGCCCCTTACACACCTGCCATATATAATGTGAAAGTTGCGGGGTACCATCAATACCCTATACAAGGCGCCATAGCGTAGGATCAACATTGGTATCCTGTCCAACATGTTCAAGCTTTCCCAGCCAGTAGCCAAACTCTATTGAACATATTTCATTCTTTGAGCCACTCCAGAAGAACATATCTTGTTGATCATAAATCAACAGTGGTATTTGAGCGATATAATTGCACACATTATCCTCAAAAGTTGTTGTAACAGTCGGTGTCCCATTCCTTGCAATGGTGATTGATTAAGTGTGCTACATTGAGATTAGGATCAGCTACCACTCCGTTTTTAGGTGCCAAAGGAAGTGAGGTATCAGGCAGCCAGTTCATTTCCATACCCGGATATTCAATCCATTCTACACACGCCATTTCAAACCCTCTAGAATCAGTGATTTTGCTCCCCAAATGCAAGTATAACTTGGATCGTACCCACGATAAGCCTCCAAAATAGATGAGTTTTTGAAATAACGCGCTTTCAATACAACATGAACAGAGAGGATGTATCCGAGAGTAGTCGCAAGGTCTGTTTTGCAAGTAAAGCTTAATTGATTTTTTGAAATAATCAAATTGATTTTCCTCTCTTTCCACCTTCGACTCTTCGAGCTGCTACTTCATCGGTAATGGCGTCACAGTATGAAATCTACCTTCAATTTTTTTTTTTTAAATTTCCACCATTGCTTTATCATTAACAACATTTATTAAAAAACACTTCCTCCCTACCTTAGTTGGAAATCCCTCGAGTAAGGTTTTTTCTCTACTAGGGTTTTGAGCGTTTTTTCCCAAATTTCGAGTGCAATTCTCTAGTAATAAATCACAGACTATTAACAATCATTACAATCTTGTGTTCGGTGCAATATGGATGATCAATTGATGAAAGCGTGGGATAATTTGAAACTGACTCAAGAAGAAAATTTTGTGCTTGGTAGGCCGAGTGCAATAAATGACGAGGAAGAACCAAACCAAAGAATTGCTCTGTCTTTGGTTGGAAAACTTCTCACAAAGAAGGCTTTTAATGTGGAAGCCATGAAACGAGTCCTTAAAAACCTTTGGCGAATTGATGACAATGTTGCAATTCGTCCTGTTGACACAAATTTATTTGTGTTTCAATTTTTCAATGCAGAGGATAGGAAGAAGGTGATGGATGGGAGGCCCTAGGCTTTCAATAATCAAACTCTTTTGCTGAAAGAAATTTGCACTGATGAACATCCATCGGATGTCTCGTTTGAGTGCTACCTTTTCTGGATTAGGGTCCTTGATGTCCCTTTTGGTAGACAATCCTCTCGTTTTGCTAAGGAGGTGGGGGATTGTATTGGCGAATGCTTGGAAGTGGATGAATCGAATCCTCTTGGCTGGGAGGAGTATATGAGGGTTAAAGTTATATGGTGAACATTAACAAACCCCTTCATAGGGGGATGAAGATTGCTGTAGAATCGGGGCACACCAAGTGGGTTGGCTTTAAGTATGAACACTTGGGTGATTTTTGCTATTATTGTGGTTGAATTGGTCACAATGATAAAGATTGCGAAGAGAAGGATAAATGTGATGATGAATCGCCCATTGCGTTTCAATATGGTCCATTTTTGTCGGCTTCCCCTCATCGATCAAAAGTTTCTGCTATTGAACGTGAGAAAGAGAAGAGGTGGGTGGAGAGTTTGTCAAAAAAAGTGAGAGTCTAGAGATCAAATTATAATGATCCTTCTACTATCCGGCTTGGACCTCCTGGAGCTGCGAGAAAACTCCTCTTTTCTTCACCTAGTAGAGACACTGCTATCACGCCAAAGTATAACACCCTAAAAATTCCTTTCCTTTAAAATACCTGTTTTACCCTTTTAAATACGAAATAGGAAAATCTAAGACATTACCGTCACCGTGAAAACGGCTAAGGCAAATATCAAAGACACATAGCGGAAGACTATCTTTTAAAACTATCCAAAACAAGTCAACTTAAGAGTCAAACCAAAAGAAAGTAAAGTCAAACCAAAGTCAAATAAAGTCAACCAACAATTTGAAACCATTGTAGGCCCTTAAAACCAAACAATACTGAAAACCCTTTGCGTTAGTCTCATGAGAATAATAAAATAAATAATATTCAAAGCAAATAAAACACATCATATTCCTATGGAAACTAAGCATGATTCACTCTTCACTCATGCCCATCATGAAAACGCTCCATCACCTGAAAAACTTCTCTCTACTTGTCCCACTACTCGCCATTAGAAATGGGTCGTTGTAGGGCCAAGGTAAAGACAAGGCCAAACAAACATACAACACACAATCAGCAATAATGAGTACATAAGCGTAATAAAACACACTATCATGTTTTCATCCTATCATCACACAACTTACCTTGTTGCACCTGTAAACAAGCATACAAGACATTCAAAACTTAACTAGACAAATACAAATGTTCATTTAATTTGACTACGCATCGAATGGGTTTCCCCCTAACCGGCCCCAGTAAAAGGGTACTAACACGGGAGCTAACCGTGCCAGTATAAAAGAACCACTCATAAGTGGCGGAATTCCTGCGCATAATAAAAAGGAATATACAGCGTCCTGTACTCCCAATAGAAGTTATGGTCAAATATAAAGTCGCATAACTCCCCCCATATGTTCATACTCAAGGTATATACGTTCCAGGAGTTTTGGTGCGTAATCTCTTTCACTTTACGTTGCTTTACATATTTTTAGACTTGGTGATGATTCTTAAACCATAACACAATCGATCATTATAATTCATTCATTCAAGCAATCAAACATACCAATTTAATTCTTGAATAATTAGTGACCACATAAATTAAATGTTGAATCCTTTTTAAACTAACTCGGTGTTAAATAACACCTTAAGCGCATAAAGCACCACAAAACTTATCCCTCGGTGTTTAAAACACCTTAAGTGCACTTAGGCACCAAAATATAATTTAATCCTCGTGTACACAGACACTTAAATAGCTCCTTCCTCATGCTAATAGCATCAATAAAAATTATATGAACCATAATAAAATTTCCTTTTCATATTCCAAACCAAATTAAACATTTAGTTTAATTAAACATGCCTTCCATCATGATAATAATAAAAGTGTGGTTCATATCCAACATGCCAACATATTTAATTCCAATCACCAATTCATCATAAATAATTCATACCTCACAAAACATTTACCAACATCAATCCAATCAACAAATTCCAACCAACACCTATCATGATACTACTTGGAATTAATTTATCAAAGCCTAGCATGCTTCTACATATTCAAATAATTACCAAGTACGCGAACGTACCTTGAATATGATCTCAAAATCGCCACGACTAAATTAAACCACTCACTTAGAAAACTCCTACAAACCAATATTACAAAGAGGCATTATTACCTATTCAATATAAATTTCCAGTAATATATACACTCCTTAAATCACTCATAAACTCTTTAAAACAAGCTAAAATTTAATTTAAAACCCTTACTTTTATTTCCAATTAATGGGTAATTAAAAATCCTTCCAAGAAACATAATTATAGCTTATATATAAAAATTCCAGCTTTATTAAACATCTAAAATTGCTGTAATTGTGTTTTAAAACACTTATTTCAATAATTTAAATCACTCATAAACAATTTCCATCAATATACATAAACTTAGAAACCTAGGGTTTGTAATTTTGGGCTTTTTAATTCAAAACCAAATCTGAAAATTTATATACATCACACTTAAAATCAAACATTATAAAAATCATCACAAAACACAAAAACAATAATTAGATTAAGGGTGAATTTAATTAAAAATCAAAAGAACAATTTTATTTTATTTTTTTTACAAAACACACGCACGCACAGGGGGGAAAGGAAAGGTGGCTGGCGCCACCTCCCACGGCTGCTGCTGCTCCCGGCCCTGGGCTGGCGGCAGTCGCCGGCTGTGGTGGTAGTGGAATCCGGCCACCGTGGTGTGTGTGGTGGTGGTGAAAAAAAATTAAAATAAAGGGGAAGGGGAAAAATTAAGGGGAAAGAAAATAAGAGGAGAGAGAGAGTTTAGCTTTGGGTAGTCTCCACCTTGGGTAAAGTTTGATTTTTCTCATATGATGAGTATTTATACCCTCTCTCAACAACCCTCCTACTTAAAAATCCTTTACTACCCTTAATGATCCCTATCCTATTCAAACTAGTATCTTGACTTTCCTTAAATACCATTGACCTTAAAATTTCCTTTTATAAAATAATATGCCCCAAAGTTTCCAAATCATGAAATAAAATATTTTCTAGACTGTTAAATAATTAAAAATATACTTT